CAGTTGAAGTATTTCTTTCCCAGAGAAGCCTTACTCTACCTAAACAAAAGCCCCCTCTGTTAATTCATCTTTTTCATTACACTAATCACAATTTGATATTACTGATTTGTGGTTTCTTTGGTGTTTGCTTGTGAGCCCTAGGAGGGCGGGGCCCATAGTAGGTGCTCAATTACTTTCTATCATGTGGCTAAGTGGTAAGAGGGACAGCGCAGCCTGGGGGTCAGACACTGTCTGTTCCAGTCTTGCTATGTGCCCTCCTGCAGGCTCCAGCCTTCTCTGGGACCCAGTGTGTCCAGTGAGGGGGACATATGTGGCGTCTGAGGGCCCTGCTGTTCTGAGGATCCTTGAACCATCTGTGTGTACCAGGGCACACCCTTGATTTCCGGGGCACTGAGACTGAGGTCAGCTGGAGCCTGGGAGAGGCCAAGCGAGGCAGGCAGGGTCCCGAAGCCCTATCTCCTGCGACCCTGTCAGGCTTTGGTCACTATAGTCTGGTCCAGTGAGAGCAGCACATGTACTGAGTCCTTTAAGGGCATCACAAATTGCGACAGTCTTTCAAATCATTCCCTAGGAATCTAGGGTGGGAATGTGGCCCGAAATCCCCCCTTGGTTCTTCTGCCCAACCAGACAGCCACCATGTTGAGTGCCCAGGAGGGGAAGAGGCATTCCCCACTGTACCCCTATTCAGGGTCCCCAGCTGCAGGTAGGAGGATCTGCCTGCTCAGTGTATGCAGGGTGGAAGGACACCGGGCGGGGGGTCAGGCATCCTGCATTCCGGGGCCTTTGTCTCTCTGCTAACCTCAGACAAGTCTTCTCCACCCTCTGGACCTCGGTTTCCATGCCTGTGCTATGGACACACTCTCAGGACACTTCAGGCCCTGACATCCAAGTTGACCGTGCTGATGCCTGGGACATGTGTGCTGCTTCCTCACCCCAGGCCTGGGGAGCTGGGAGGGGGGCAGCGCTGGGAGCGTGGGAGAGCCAGATGTGGTGGCTGCTGGCCCTGCCTGAGTGAGTGCTGAGCTGGCCTAGTGGGAATTCTCCCACTCAGGCGCCCTTTCCGGGCCCCCCTCCCCCTGCCCCACTGAGAGCTGCGGCTTCCGGCTCTGACAAGCGTGGGCGGGGTGGGGGGGAGGGGGGGTCTGAGGAGGGGGGTTCAGTTCAGCCCGGTTCCCTCCTTCAGGGGAGAGCTTGGGCCTGAGTCTGGACAAAAAGCATCCCTTCCAGTCCTGGTCTTATGCATTACAAAGCCTTGCTCAGTCAACTTTCCGGGCACTGGCCTCAGTCATCTGGGCTGTAAAATGAGCATCTGGATCCCTGTGGCCCTGGTGATGGACTTCTGCGGCTGCAGCTCCCGGAGGAGACGCCGGAGAGTTGTTACCCTTAGTGAGGCTTTCTCGCTCTGCTCCAGTCCTTGCATAAAACACCTGGTGCATCACTCATGCAAGCTTCTCAACGACTCTGAGGTAGCCACATGTATCCCCATCTCACGGCTGAAAACACTGAGTCTCAGAGAGCTCAGGTAACTTAACTTGTCCAAGGTCACACAGCTAAGGAGGTGGTAGAGCTGAGCTGGAATTTCCAATGTCAGAGCTCAGGCTCTTAATCCTTGAGCGTGACCCCATGCAGCGGGGTGAAGAAGCACTGAATCCCAGGCCCAGAGCTCCCCTTCTCCCTCTGCACCCCGCTCACTCCACCTGAGGCAGGATTCCCCTTAGTCCATGCTCTGCCTGCCTGCTATCGGCCCAGCCTTTCCCTATAAGCATTGTCCCAGGCTGGACCGGGCTCTCAGCATCCGGGCGGGTGGGAGACTATTCATGGCCGTCCTGTCCATGGTGGATGGGGGCTGTGCTGACTACCCCAGCTTGACAGTGCTACACCGCTCAAGGGTACTGCCCACTGCCCACCCCTTCAGAGCACACGGGAGAAACTGAGGCCCAGAGAAGGACCAGCTGGGCCCAGGAGCACACAGGAGCCGCAGCTGGAATGAGGGAAACAATATTTCCAAAATCACACTTACAGATGCTGTACTGAGTTATTTAAGAGCATTAGACATTGCAACAATCTTTCAAACCATTCCTTAAATTAGCTCTATTTGCCAGAGGAAGAAACTGAGGCTCAGGAGTTTAAGCCACTTGTTCAAGATCATGCAGCTTGGAATTGCAAAAGCTGGGATTTGAGCCCAGTTCTGTCTCTGGCTCTAGAATCTGCCCTGTCCATCACGACTCCTCTGCCTCAACGGTCCAGCCCTTGGTGAGTGCCCCGTGGTGTTCCATGTGGCTCTGGCCCCCCAGCCCCATCTCAGCTGAGAGGAGGCACAGCAGCCCTGGTGCCTGCCAAGGGTTAATGATGGTAGGGGCTAAGTGATTCCAGATGGGCCAGCCGGACGGCTGGGCTGGCCGGAAACCGGCCGCCGCCAGCTTCCCGGGGGAACCACCACCAGCCACCCCCTCCCCTCTGTGCTGCATCTCTGGCCCCCAGCTGTCCCCTCGCCCTGGGGCCCACCAGCCTCCTCTCCCTAACCAGAGTCCAACCTAAGACACTTGTAAACAGAGCATCCCAAGGGCCTTCCAGCACAAGGAGTTCAACCCTCTTATGTACAAATGGGGAAACTGAGGCTCAGAGAGGAAAAAGTATCTATCCAAGGCCACAAATCAAGTCCACAGCTGGATCTCCACATTCCTGGACTTGTTTGGGGAGAGGGCGGGGATTAGGGGCTGAAATGCTTCCTTGCTCCCAGACCTCACCCCCACCCCCTTCACCCAGCCCCCGAACTGTCTGGTCTCATCAATGAAGGCAAAGCTTTGGAGGTGATTGGCCAAGTCAAATGCTAGGAGTTGTAAGGATTCATAGAGTCTTGGGGCATAAATCCCAGTGTAGGCCTGACCCTGTGATCTTTGGAGTCCCATTGGCATCCCCTATGGCCCCATTGCTATCAAGCTGGGCCAGGGCCCCTTTCTTTGGAATCTCTCACAGCTTGCACGCTATGGCTTAGGGCCCATCTGAGAATTCTTTTCCCTCTGTGCGGCCCAGCGCAGATGCTCGGATGTTGGGCAATCTTCACTCAGATAAGACCAAGAAATGACCTCAGGATGTGCTATTGTGGTTGGCATGAAATCCCAGCTTGGGCAAACACCCCTGCCCCATGAACAGGGGCCCCCAGGAGAAGGGGGTAGACAGAGGGGCAGAGGGTAGGAAGGAAGGAGCCCTGGGCAGAGTCAGACTCTACCTGTGTGACCCGGGACACCTTTCTTTTCCCTTCTGGGACTTAGTTTCCCCAATGTATACAGCGGGCAGAGGATGACTCAACTAAACTCTCTAAACTCTTTTATGTATGTATGTATGTATTTATTTATTTATTTCACTTTTTAAAATTATTTATTTATTTTGAGAGACACAGAGAGAGAGAGCAGGGGAGGGGCAGAGATAGGAAGAGAGAGAATCCCAAGCAGGCTCTGCGATGACACTTGTGGGGCTGGAGTCCACGAACCGAGAGATCATGACCTGAGCTGGAATCAAGAGCTGGGTGCTCAACTGACTGAGCCGCGCAAGTGCCCCCTGTACACCCTTTTAAAATGATGCCCTTGGGCATCTAAGAGACAGGAGTCTGTGACTAGAGACATCTTGTGGCCTGAGGAAATGAGGGGGGACTAAGTAGGGAGAACCGAAGATCCAGCCAGTTTTGGAGGAGCCTTGGCAGACCCCAGTAGGGGAGGGAGGGCAAGAAGCTGGAAATGGAACGTTAGCAGGTACTCGGAAATACCTGTTGAGTGGCTGAATGAGAGGCAGGGGAAGGGAGAGCCTGGGAAGCAGGCAGGATGGGCCTTCCACTGGGGTCAGATCACCTGTGTCTGTTTCATCCTGTAGCCCAGGAGGGCTGATTCCACTCTTGTTCTGCTGTTGTGGTGTGAGCTCAGCCAGCTCATTTCACTTCTCTGGGCTTCCATTTCATCGTCTATAAAGAGGGGAAATAATCCTCTCCTGGTCCTCCAGGGGCTGTGAGATGATAAGCAAGAATACGTCTGGAACTCTGAGCTATACTGGGTGACACTGGGCAGGTCTCTTTCCTTCTCTACCAGTTCACGCTTGGGCCTTGGGTTTCTTCTGAAAAGTGACTGATAATCAAAGAGCCTCAGTGAGCTGCCCCTCTAAATGCCCTTCTTTGGGGTACCGGCCTGTGCATCCCCGTCTCTCCCACTAGCCTGGGCCACCCTGAAGTCAGAGACTGTGTCCTACTCACTACTGCATTCCCAAAACCCAGCACTATGTCTAGGACTTAGTTGGTGCTTAACTTGCTTTTTTTTTTTTTTTTTTTTTAAATATTTATTTATGGGAGAGCACAAGAAGGGGAGGGGCAGAGAGAGGGGAGCAGAGGATCCACAGTGTGCTCTGTGAGCTGACAAGCTGACATCAGCGAGCCCCATATGGGGCTCGAAGTCACCGAAGGGGAGATCATGACCTGAGCCCAAGTCAAAGTGGGATGCTCAACCCATTGAGCCACTCAGGTACCCCATCAGCATGGTTTTTCAATAGATGGATGTGGACTGAATCGATCATATAGGTTATCAGAGTTGCCTTTATAGATGGGGAAACTGAGGCACAGAGAAAGGACCCTGTCCCAGGTACCAGGGCAAGGCATCAGGCAAGTGGGGCCAGGACACTTTTTAATAAAAGTGACTCAGCGGTTGGCGTGGGCTGCGGAATTTCTAAACATCCCCTCACATCCTGAGAGAGCAGGCGACGGAGGGAGCAGGCAGAGGGAAACGAGGAAGAAAAACAAGAAACTTGGGGGAAAAGAAAGAGAGGGGGGAAGAAACTGAAATTGAAAACAGACACACGCGTCCACCTTCCCCGCCCCCTCGCCCCCCTTCTCCCGGCTGAGCCAATCAGAGGCGGCCCTTCAGCCTTTCCCCCAAAGTGGGGGAGGGGCAGGGAAGCCCACAGTGGTGTGAGCTCCCGGGGCTGCCAGCGCCCGCAGTCCCTGCCCATCCCGTCTGGGACGCAGGAGCCCTCTGTGAACAAGTTGGAGGCAGAGACGAGGAGGACGGCAAGGAGAGAGCCGAGCCGGGCCCCCACTGACCAGCGGCGCGGGGCAGCACTGTGCCCTGCCACACCGAGGGCCAGACCCGGGGCGGCCCTCCTGGCAACCCTGCTCCTCCAGCAGGATGCTTTGGGATTGAGGCCGCTCCTCACCCCTGCAGCCCCCTCCTCCCTTCCGTTCTCCCGAGGCTCCCAGAGACGGCAGCTGTCGTCCCTGCTCCCCTACTCGGCGCTTGCCCCATTTGGGGTCCCGCAAAGTCTCTCTGTTAATGAGAGGTCAGTGAGGAGGACTTCCTGGAGGGGGTGGCTGCCCAGAGCTCAGGACTGTGCCCACACCCGCAGGCATCAGCAGCAAGGTAAGTGCTGGCAGAAGGGGGATTCCCACCCCCTTGTCCTGTCCCCTTGCTCCAGTCTGTGCCTTCTTGGGTAGGTCAAAAAATGGAAAATATTTTTAACAAAACCAGATGGGAGGAGGCCGGGAGGCTGTGGGCCACGTCAGGGCTGGAGAAGCCAGTTCTCTCCTCTCCTGCTCAGGCTGCTTTTGGAGTGAGTGGCCCCGACTCCACAGCCCTGCCGCCGCCCCCTGCCTTCATTCAATGAACCCCAGAGGTCTCTGGGTGCCAAAGACGGAGGGCCTCCAAAACCTAGCACCGCCCGAGGGGGCCGGGGCGAGCTGGGGCAAGCTGGAAGAAGCAGGAGAGGGGAACTGGGAGGTGGCAAGCAGGGTACGCGGATAGGGGACCTCAGAGCCCTGGCCCCTGTCTCTGGGCCCAAGCCTTGTCCTTAAGAATCCGTCTGGCTCTAGGCCAGTCAGCCGCCAGGCAACCTCTTCGGATTTAAATGGATTTGCAAATTTTCCAGATTCCTAAGATGTCCTTCCAAGCCCCCAGTGGCTGGGAAAGTGCGAAGGCAAGGGGGCTGTGGCAAGGCTCGTGGTCACAGTCATGCAGCTGGGGCTGTGGGGCTGGGGGGCTGGAACCGGCCGTCAGATGTAGGGGCTCCTCTGTAAAGAAGGGGGTCAGTCACTGGGCCCTTCCCTTTGGACTTGGGCCGCCTTGCTGTCTCCCTCCTTCCTGACACCGCTTCCACTCCATCCTAAAACATGAATCCGATCACGATTCCTTCTTTGATTCTCCCCTATAGAAAGCCCCCCCAACTCCTAATAGTAGCTGCCATTGATTGGCACTTACTGCATGCCAGGACCGTGCGGAGTGCTTTATGAGCATGATCTCACGGAACTCACCAGCAGTTCTGGAGGCAGGGATGGACTTTATGTTGGTTGTACGCGTGAGGTTCACAGCAGCTACAAAGCTGAATTGCACTGCCAGTAAGTGGCAGAGCTCCGGTAGATAATAGACCCCCTGCCTCATTTCTCCAAACTTGGGCCTTGTGTCAGTGAGATCCCAGAGTTCAGAACACACAATCCTGCCTATGAGAATGCCCTTCCTCATCACCTCCATTTTCCTTCAAGGACCTTGCCTACTTCACCTCCTCCGGGCAGTCTTCCCGGGTTCTTCTGTCTTCCAAGTGCTTGCCATGCCCTTTGCCTTGTTGCGTGGACTTCTCTTCCTGTTTGTGCTCTGTGTGCACATCGGAGATCATTCGGCCCCAGGTTTCCCCATCTTGGGCTCTGTCCCCGTCATTCCGCCGGCGGTCAGTGGAGCTGAGAAAATGTGCTGGGGAAGGGAGAAGGGGCTCCGCCGAAGATCTTCTGTTCCCAAATGCGAGACCAGAGCCAGGCCCCTGCCTTCCCTCTGGTGCCCTTCAGAGCCTCATGTAGTCCCTCCAGACTGCATTTTTCTAGGTCAAATACGGAGGAGTGTCCTTGCCTGCTTCTGCAGTTCCAGAGGGCACAGAGGCCTCTAGTGAGATATCTGAAGTCACGTAGAGGGGACCTCATATAAGAGGCCCTAAATCCACTGGGCTCAGGAGGGAGGGCCATGTTGGTCACTGTCAAGGAGGGCTTGCACTGGGCCGGACACAGAGCCTGGCACCTCACATACCAGGTCTTAGGAATCGGTATCGTTGTTATCCCTATTTTGCAGACAAGGAAACCACGGCTCAGAGGGGCTATGTGACTTTCCCAGTGTCACACAGTTAGTAGAGGTGGTACTTAGACCCAGGTCTGCTCGAAACCAAAGATGTAACCCTTTGCTACCCAGGGAGCCCCAGGTCAGAAAGCAGACAGTCTCCATCCTCCCACACGGGCCGCTCCTGGCTTGGGCACCTCCTTCTGCGGTCGTTAAACTCAGCTTCAGGCCCCACCTGCTCCCAGGTCCCCCCACAGACCCTGGCCTGGTCCTAAGTGAGGAAGGGGACCATCTGGTCAGCACCTTCCCTTCAGCGGTGATCAGGCAGCCCCCCCTCCTCTGTGGGAAGAAGAGCTGAGACTTGTAATTGCCCACAGATGTCGGACGGCGGAAAGCACCGTAGATTCAGAGTCAGGAGACCTGGCGTTTGTCCTGGCTCGACTCAAGTCCACTGTGTAGCCACTTTCGGGTCCCAATGTCCTTTTTCTGGGCTGCATCCATATCCAGAAGGCAGTGGGCACCATGCATAAAACAACATCAGGTTTGGGCATCGGGCAAGCGTGCATGAATCCCTAGCTGGCTCCTGGCTGGCTGTGTGACCCTGTGTCTGTCTGGGCATCAGTCCCCTCCTCTGTGAGCAGCAGGGAGGTACGTAGGCTCTGTGAGTGTGATATAGGTAAGGCGCTTGCGCTTTACAGGGCTGGACCTAATGCCAATGGCTAAGAGAGGGTGGCTGCTCTCCCTGCCTCTTGCACAGGACTTGGTGGTGAAATCAGTCTGTGATCCACAAAGGGCAATGCCAGAGGAAGGGACCTGGATACCGCGGGTATTCTAAAGGCCCACTTCCATCTTCCAGGCATAGTCTGGCTCTGGGACCAGCTGCCTTCCGGACGGAAGGAGGGGACTTGGCACTTTGCTCCGATTGGGCTACTAAGTGTGATGGAGAGGGAGGGGGGAATGAGAGGGTCCCTAGACTTCCCTGAAATGCCCTTCATGCCCACCTGACTTCCTTGCACATGTTTCAGAATGCTGTGGGTAGTGGGCTCTTGGAATGGGGGGAGATCATCCTCTACTGTTTTCCATAGGCCTTCCTTCACCCTTCATCCCCCCAGGGCAGAGTTCATAGCACCTCAGCTGGGAAACAGCATGGGCAGGATGGTATAAGAGAGACCAGCAATTCCTGAGCTTTTCCATTGTGCCTCCCATCCATTACTGTGAAGTTCACTACTGTGTTCCTTGGGGCTTCGAACAGGCCCAGCATTCAGAAAACGCTTAATAAATATTTGCCAAACTAATTTAATCATCACAGCAGCCTCAAGGAGCAGATAGACACTCTCTCTGTTTTACGGATGAGGCACTGCCCAGAGAGGTTAAGTCAGTTGCCCAGCCTCCCACAGCTATGAAGCGACAGAGCTGGGATTTGCATCAGGGTGTTTGCAGCTCCAGAGCTGAAGAGGAGAGGCTGGGTGGGGCCTCGGCCACCCCTGGGGACCCAGCACAAACTCTGAGAATGTGCCGTCGCTGCGGAGGCCCCTCAGCGTTCCGGAGGTGGTCATCAGACCCTGGAACCCATTCTGTGTGACCGTGCGTGAGTCAGGCCTTCTCTGGGCCTCAGTTTTCCCATAAGTAAGACCAGGAGGTTGAACAAGATGATCTCTGAGCTCCTTCCAGGCCCCAAACAATTCCAGGATTCCGAGCCACGCCAGCCCAGATTGGCAGCCACTCAAGCTCTGCTGTGTACTCAGGCATCATGCATATTTAACTTCACAGTGAAAGGGTTTTTTCTTACCCTTTCTCTACCCGTTACAGAAAGAGGTCAGGATCGATGCCCACTAATGGAAAACTGTAACCTGCAATAAAGAGGAGGAACTTTCTATAGTCAGAGCAGCCCGTTAATGCACACAGTTTCTCAGGGAGCTCCGAGGCTATGTGCCTGTAGAGCCCGTGTGCCCATCTTCCCAGGATACAGAGGAAGGAGGGGTAGGGAGGTGTGCATGTTGGGGTGTGGATGTGTGGGTGCTGTGACCCTTTGGGCTGCTCCAGTGCTCATTTTTCAAATCTCATCTGCTCTGATTTCAAGAGGAAGAAGGGCTTTGGCCCAGTGGTGGATGGAACAATGACGGGGTCCAGACGCGAGGGAATGGATGTGGGACCCACGACCCACCTCTGGGTGGGAGGGGGTGAGGAATTTACATACCTGTTGCTTACGGTGTAAGAGTCACCTTAAGACTCTCCCAAGATTTCAGACTCAGAGCCCACAGGCAAAAGGGCTTCCAGAAGCCCCAGGCCCTTGCCCCAGGACCCTCCCCCCCACTTCCCAGATGCTTTTTGGGGCACCCTGCCCCCAGCCTAGTGCAGGAGGCTGAAAATCAAAGTGTATTACTTTAGCTGCATCAACACCATCTCTTCTCCTTGCTTCAGATCAGAGCTATTTGATGTCTCAGGTGCCCAAAACCCTTTCATCTGCCAGAGGTACCAGCTTCTCCGCCCTGTGATGGAAACAGTTGTACTTGGGAAGTGGGAGCAACAGAGCCAGGGAGTCGGTTCTTGAAGGTCAGAGACGAAAGGACTCTGGGGGTCACCTGGGTCAACTTGCTTATTCTATGGGTGGGAAACTGAGGCCCAGAGGAGGGGAGGGATGTACCTCAAGTCGTACAGATCACCCGTGATAGCACTGAGCCCGGGCCTGTGAGCCGGACGTGTGCTGTGTCGTCTCCATCCAATTCCTCCAATTCCGTCATCCCAGGCTCACTCAGCCCCCGTTCTCCCCCGTGTGAGGTCACAGGGCAGAGTTTGGGCTAAAGAGGAAATGCCATTTCCATGAGGGGTAAAACAACCCCCAGGGTAGTTTTGTGGACCGTGGAGCTCCGATCATGTCACTTCTCCATTCTGGCCATAAATTCCTTTTATATAAGTGAAGGGGAAGGCGAGGGAGCCACTCAGTGACCCCAGAAGCCCCATCCCACGCTGCCCTTAGCCCCTGCCAGCCTTCCGAAGCTGTTTCAAATCCTTGTTTCTTGCTTCTTGGGAAGTAGAACTGAAAGGCTGTGACCTGACAGCTTCTCCACTCCCCCAGACTGAGCCTAAGTCAGGTAGGTGGGGGGATTCCAGGGTCAATCCACCAGGCAAGGCTCAGCTTTACAAACCTGTCGCAGCCCCGGCTCAGGGCACTGGTCTTGAAGGGAAAGGCTCACATCTGACCCAGCAGACCTCGGGCTTCTCACCCTCTTACCTGTATCTGTGCCCGTGTCAGTTCCCAGGCTGGGGCCTGTCTGCTGAATGGAGAGTGAAATAGTGATAGATAAAGGCACAGAGAGATGCGTAAA